AAAGGCTTATCGTGTCTTAATCTAGGATGGAATTCATCTTCAAAATCGGCTCCCCAGATAGATTGTCCACCCGTACCTTTACCGGTAGGATCACCAGTCTAAAAACAAATATGAAAAAGATAGCTTTTATTGTGCCAATAGGTCATACCTGTATCATGAATGATTTAATCACTCTATGAAACATTAATCCATTATAATAGCCTCTCCTAGCATGTGTGCTGAAGTTCTCCACTGTTTTGGGACATTCATTTGGAAACAGCTTTATCCGAATATCCCCCATTGTAGTGTGCAAAACAGCTTCTTCAGTGGCATGCTTGATCTCGCCTTCTTGCTAAAAATGCAACAATCCCAACGTTGTGATTGAAAAAAGAGAATTACACTGGAAAAAATGAATCGAAAAGGTACTATGACGTGCACCAACCTCAACAGCAGTGAGTTGATCTTCTTTACGAGGTCGTTCATTGAAGATATCACGACTGACGGCAGATTCATCCCCTTCATCAGTCGAGTATGGTTCAGAATTGGTAAAGAGATAGAAGCGATTCTTCTTGTACGCACAGCAAACCTGAAAATCAACACAGAGGTGCTCGGAACAAAACTATGTATCTTATCATAACCGACCATGATAGGATCCGGGTCCGTTGTTTTGTTCAAATTGGGATTATCGGCAGCTTCTGTCTCAATCGTTGCTGCCGCACCTTGTAGTCGAGCCCGTATGTCCGGCACTGCTCTGAAAACAGAGCAGAAATGTAATCTTATCTCCGCATGAAAGACACATTTGAAAGAAAGAAAATGTCAATGAATAAATCGAATGCATGATATTACTGACCGGCAAAGTGTAACTGCAACAAAACGCATGGTTTCCTCCTTACCAATTTCCCGAACAAATTGGTGTGTATATACGTTATAAACCTACAGAAAAGAGACTACTTTCGCATCCTACAAAGAAAAAAAAATCAGAAAGCCTACTTTTATGCCTACAGGAGACGGATATAGCACGAAATAGCCGGAGTAATCCCAACATAACCGCACATTTCTAAGATTACTGGA